TCGTGCGATTCAAGATGCCGCCTACGAAAAGAAGACTGCCGACTTGAACGCTTTCGCCAAGGTAGATTCATACATCGAAAAGGAGTTTGAGGTGCAGGGCTCCCGAGCCACGATCAAGGAGAAAGACGCCGGAATTCTCGAGCAACGCTTGCAAGATAGGATCATGGCCGCCACGTATCACTTCGAGTACGATCCTCACCCCAACAAAGTCGGAAACCAAGATCCCGGCGCTCAAAAAGGTGGTGGTGGAGAGGGTGTTCGCCAACTCCGAAGCCAACCGCAGGCAAGCGCCAAGGCTGCCGAGGGCGACGGAGTCATCGTCTCTGGCAAGAGAACTCGCAACCCCCCGAAATTGTTTGACGGCGTGTTACAGGACGACCACCGTGCAGCAACTCCGGGAAGCAACAAGCCGGGCCCGAAGAAACGCGGCAGGGCTGCCGCTGCAGAAAAGGCGGCTTCCCTTCAAGACCCCGAAGAGGAGCCTGAGCCTGAGCCGCAAACGGTATCACCTGCCAAGCCCGGCCCCAAAAAGAGAGGGCCGAGGGGCAGGAAGTCTGCCGTGGTGGTCTCGGAGCCGAACTCGCCTGCTCCCGAAGAAGAGGCCATCGCCCCGCCGCCGGAGCCAGAGCAGGTACAGCCTCCCAAGCGCAAGCGTGGCAGACAGCCAAAGTCAGCCGCCATTGTCGAAGAGGAGCCAGAAGAGCCCGAGAAGCCGACTCCCAAGAGAGGTCGCGCAGCGCAGCGAAAGAGCAACGGGCACGTTGCTGTTGTTGCGCCCGAAACGACCGACGAATCTCGCCCGACCTCGGCATCATCGATGGCCACTATCTCGGACGCCGGGTCTACCTACGGACTGCGCCAGAAGAAGCGACAGCGAAACTGGCAGGATGAGGAGGAAGTCGATGAGGAGGAAGTGGAGGCCGAGCCTCAGCCTAAGAAGGCTCGCATCATTCGCATCAACAGAAAGCAGAGCGCACCAGAGCTCGCACCCAAGGAGACGCTGGGCGAACATATTCTCGCTGATATACACCGTTTCGCCGCGACTCTCGATGCGTCCGAGTCCCCTCAGCCCCGGCTGATGATGTCGTTCAAATTGATCAACAATGGCTCCAGATGGACCATCAAGCCCCCAGCCTCGCCGCGTCAAACATCGACCGACGTCAGCGAGTACAACCTGTCGACCCCTCGACCAGCGCCAATGTCTGCACCTACCTCGGCCAAGTCATCGGCCCCGCCTAGCCAGGCCGAAGGGGAAGAGAAGGATTACTCCACCATGACCAAGTCGGAGAAGATGTCGGCCTCGATGAAAAGTACGCTTCACTCAACCCTATCACTGATCTTGCAGTCCACTAACGATTTTTCCAGAACGATGGCTCAATGGCAGCATGCAAGGCGCTGTCAATAAGCGAAAGGCTACTCTCGCTGCGAAGAAGGCAGCAGCTGCCGCGGCCGAAGCTGATGCGGCCCGAATCGCTCAGCAGAAGGCCATACAACTCCAGCAATCTGGACAACCGGCACCCTTCCCAATGGGACAGGGACAGTAACGAATCCGAACACATCTACTAACATCTGTCAAAAACGGCACGTTAAGCTACCACGCAGAGCAGGATGATGACCCATACGGATCACATCGAAAAAACGCAACCGCAAAAGGTCACGAGACCCACGAATATCATTACCAGCATCATGTGCTTCTCAGAGCAACTATTTTCCAGTCTTCTACGATCAGCATTGTATACCCATTCGCATGACGAAAGTCGCATCCGGATGGCAGTGGACGAGTTCGGGCACACGAACACGCAAAAGGCCCGCACCGCTACACACCTAATTCAGTTTTCTTGTTCGAGTACACATATCGGGAGAGGCACCGTGAGAGATGATCTCTCCTACATCAGCATCGGGAAGCGAGGGCATCCGATTTTTTTCCATTTTCGATTCGAGTGTTGGAAACCAAAAAAGAGGAGAGAGAGAGAGCGTATGGATCTTTGCATTGATGGATTGACGGAACGGCACACCGACCTCAGCTCCCAAATCGACTGAGAAGTTTTATAGTGCCGCCGTCTCCGTCACTTTTTCTTTTTATGAAACCTTTTTTCCTTCGGCTCTTGTGTATTTGCGCCAACCTTTTCTTGATTTCAGGCGACGAATACGAACTTTCGTCGATTTGGTACCAGCTCAGTGAAGTGAGTGGTCTTGCAGAGGTGGTACGTCAATGGAAGTGGAGGGTCAAGTCGGGGGCTGTCTGGCACCAGGCCTTGAGGAGGGAGAGAGAGCTTTCGCATATCTGAGCGGCTCATGGATGAGGGATTTTGGCTCTGATTTCCTACCGAAGGATTTCGTTGAGACGCCCTAGGATATGGGTTGGTGGTGGATGAGTGGGGTTTATCTTCTGGTACGAGGGGGGTGGAAGGATAGAGTCGATACTCTTTGACGAAATTGACGTTGATGCCACGTATAATGACAAGATGTTTGTGCTGTAGTTCAATGACCTGCCCGTGGCAGTTGTGACGTTCCTTGCCTACCAGGTCGTCGAAACCATTTCGACTGTTTGAAGTGCGGTTTGGTGAGGTTTTCGCTTGGTGTGATAACGAGATGTGTCACTCGTCATATTCGGAGCATCTTCCAATCTCCCAGGAACTAAAATGCCTCCATCGCCAAGTTTCCAACACCAAGACTCGCAACCTTATACTCAAGTGTTTGACGCTATAGGTGTAGTAGGCGACTTCACCTCGATCTAGATGGCCTTCACACGTTCGGTACAGGCTGTCTACCACATTTGTCAGTGGTAAGAATATCGTATGATTTCTCTATGCCGCCCATGGCCTTCATCTTGAGCCACTTCGATAGCCCCTACAACCCGTGTTGACGTCTCGCCGTGATATACGGTTGAGAGGGCTGCAAGGTAACGGAGCGAAGGTGTCGTCGAAGCGATCCTCTGAAGTAGTCACGTGTGCAGAGCAATCTCCAATTTCAGCATTCATACACCACCTCATCAAGCTGACAGTCTTCACTGTAATTTCTACACGCCCCAAGGCCGAGCTGCCTCAATTAGCCACTTGCATTGGATCAGATGCAGTCTTAGCTAACTCTTTGCCCTCCAAACTTTACCTCAGCCTTGCATTAGACCTGCGGCTATGCAACCCCTTCAGCGTGATTGCATGTATCCGAGCCGGGTGGCGCCCGCTATGACTCCGGTTTCTTTGAGAGGCCATCGTCGGTCATACTCGGCAATCGCAATCTACAGAGATTCGAATTACAAGTAGGTGCCTTTCTGTTCTCCTGGCGCGGAAAAAAGTCAAGTGATCTCTGTGGAGACTTGTCCTATTGCTAGATGCTTTTTGAGTAGGTAGGTAATGGCTGGGCAGTGAGATGACAACTAAACCACAACGCTATGGGCTGTCGTTGAGAAACATGTCCATCACTGCAATTTTAACTCATCCAAAGGGCTTGGGTGTCAAGTCGTTTAGCAGCTGCAGCTCTACAGTTCTCTCTCATTCGATTCTTGGTGGCAGCCAGGATTTCGACAGGCCGGACCTAATCTGGCGTGCTGCCGACACGGTGACGGCCATGACCAATAAATACTATTACTTCCTTTCTTCTCGGGCGCATGCGGGCATCCCTTTCTGATCGCACGGGTGGCTTCTTGAAGGTATCGACTCGTCTATTGGTTTATCCTGCATCAAAACGAGGCGATGCTCGACTGGCACCCCATTCTGGTGGCTTAGGGAGGAGTTGAACACCAATCATGGCCCTTGTCAGCGAGTAGCCTGACTGCAAAAAGGGGCTTGTTGCACTGCAATTTTGGCCGCTCACCAGGCTTCAATACTTGGGCATGGTTTTACGTGAATTTACGGCGCATGCTTAAGTGCGTTGGCCCCGTCATGCTACAATTCTCGTGATGTAGAGAGGCCTCGTCAACATGTCTACCTCACCAACTCCGTATTCATTTCAGATGACGAGCTGTGCAAACCGGGGCTTCTGATTACACTTTGGGCGATGACTTTCCTCTTCTTCAACCAGCTGTCGAATAGCGTAATGCTGGGCAGTGTTTTTTGCCTAGACCAGCTTCACGACTGATAGTCGACACTGCGGGCAATTCGAAACCACCTATTCGTAATGCGACCCTCATTTGGATAAGCCAGTCGTAGCTATACCAAATCAGAGGAACCGAAGTGTCGCCAGCGGACACACGGAAGAGAGTAGTATGTTCACGGCGCAGAGCTTGCATCACAACGAGGCAAGTCAAGTTGCTGCAGATAGAGGACATGGAAATTGGGTAAGCGGTGTTGGACGAATTCGGGCTAATTGAGGAAAATGTGAGCGAAAGCCATGGCCTGCGAGGGGGTTAAGATTGCTGTGCAGTCAGAGCCTCATATCTCATTCCTCGACCGCCAATAAAAGATTCAACATTGCCGCCAATAGAAGCGGGGGAAGGCGAGATGACGGGGAGAAAATACATGCAGATACCACTGACAGTCTGACACGGACATGACTTGCTCGATGGATTTCTAGGCATTTGTCTGGTCGGGATTTGACGACACTCGTCTCCTTGAGAGCACAGCATAGGCATGGTCAATTCACAGGCGGCGAGTGCGCCAAATGGACAGCGACCGGGAAAGCAGGAGGTAAACATGTGTAACGTGCGCAAAGAATCGGATTTTTGTATCTCTCCTGTATGTGAAATGCCTGGTATGAATTTCTTTCCCTTTACACGCCACAGCCGAAATGCAGAGCCTGCCAGTCCAGCGAGGAAACTAAAAAGAAAAAACCAGGCCCACAACCCTCTTTCAGATGGTGTTTTGTGTGTGTGATGAATCCATTCGACCTCGCTCTCTTTCACTTCATGACGACAGGGTGGGTGGAGAGAGGTGTCAAGGAGAGAGAGGAGGAGGGGTGATGAAGTATGTCCCAATGGTTCGCACCGGTTGACCTAATCCGTAGCCATAACGTCGTCCTTTTCGCCCTTTTATTTCTTGACTTGTGTAAAAAAAAAAACTCCTTTACATGACGACACCAGAGTTGCTGGCAATACGCTGGATTGGGTGTTAGTCTCGTAAATCCCAAGATCGTTTGTATTGGAAGAACTTACGGGCCAGAGCTCAGCAGCCTCCTTACCGACGGGGCCGGTAATGGCGGAGCCCTTCATCTCACCCTTGGGGTTGACGATCTGTAGTCATTGTGTCAGCGACAGTTCTTGATTGTCACTTCGAAACAGCGACGCCATATTCAGAGCTCGGCTGTGCGAAAGCTGCACAACCAAGTCTCGTCCGACGCGCCCCATTCCCCCAAAAATGCAAGGTAGTACTTACGACACCGGCGTTGTCCTCGAAGTACAGGAAGACACCGTCGAAACGCTTCCAGGGCTTGGACTGGCGAACGATGACGGCGGGGTGGACCTTCTTGCGGAGTTCGGGCTTTCCCTTCTTGACGGTGGCCATGACCATGTCACCGACACCACCGGCAGGCAGTCTGTTGAGGCGGGCACCGATACCCTTGACGGAGATGATGTAAAGGTTACGGGCACCAGAGTTGTCGGCGCAGTTCATGACGGCACCACTGAAGCAACAGAGTCAGCGACGAGTTCCAACCACAGAGAATGGGTTCTCTCATTCGGGAAGAGAGGAGAGTTCGTACACGGGAAGACCGAGGGTCATCTTGAGCTTGCCACCGGGGGCACCGCGACTGTAGAAATCTGGTCAGCACTTCCGCGTCTTGATGTTTGCCGGAATTTTCTCTGCTCATGTCTCCTCCATTGTCGGCGCAAAATTCCGTTTCTCGTGGTGGGCTAGCGGTGGGCGAGGGGCATCATTTCGCGCAGTGTTTTGTTCTCCATTCGTGCATGCCGTCAGTCGGTGTTTCTGTCGCAGTCGAAGCCCAATGCTACACTTCCGGCCTTTGCCTTGCTGACTTCGAAATTTCCTCCTCTTTCCCTGCGTTGGTCGTCGTTGTCGTGTGCCGAAATTTCGAGCGCCCGCCCGCTTCTCGCCGCGTGCATCCCACCAAAAGCTCCGTCGTCGCTGGAGGAGGGGTGAAAAGAAGCCGAAAATTTTGCGCCGTCGCTGGATTCGAAGAGTAGAATTACAATGACTTACGAGAGCTTGGCCATTGTGTCGGTTTGGGGGTGTCGGAATCAACTACGGGGCTGGCTGGAGGGTTAGATGGCGGACGTGGAATCGTGAACTAGGCTGGAAATTTCACGACTTCGAAAATGTTTTTGGTGAATCGCTGGTGTGGAGCACCGAACCCTACGCTCCTCCCTTACCCGAGCCAGAATTATCCGTCACGTGGAGATTAGATAAGCCACCCCGAAAACCTTTCCCTCTGCCTTTTTGATGCACAGAGACCCCGCTGGCTGTCTTGCCCCACTCCATCCTACCTTATGGCCCCTCGTCACTGCCTTGGGGGGAGTTAAAATCGCACTGAAGGTTGTGATTCCGAGCTTCTCCCGAGCCTCTCTTGGGTCGCTATACTTCATCGTCTTTAGAGGAGTAAAAGTTGCAGTGAAGACCGCGAGTGCGCGATACCCAATCCCAACCCCTTTTTGGAAGTCAGACGTCCGGCTTTGGACGAGTTTGAATTGCTGCGAGCTCAATTTACGTCACTCACGGATAAGCTTAATGCGGCCTCTATAAGGTAGGAGTCGGTTGGGATGTGATAAAGTTGCAGTACCCAATCTGTCAACAACAAATCGTTGCGGAGGTGAAGGGTAGCCATACCATGAGACCACACCATCGCCTTAGGGATGGTTGATTGCAGTGAATGTGAAGTACTTTTCCCTCGGCCCCTAGTGCATAGTGTAAATCGACCACAGGGGAGCACACCAACAACTACATCGCCTATGAGTCGATCAGAATGGCACCTGACTTACAAGACAGTAAGGGAGTAAGATACGTCCAACAATCAGGAAACCTTACAGATGCCGTTTGAGATAGAAGACGTACGAATTTTGAGTCATTGGCTTCAATATACATCGCCTTACTTCACGATCATGAAATTTTCTATTTCGAAAAGACCCTCTCCTTTATCATATAGGTTTGAACGAACGTGACTGTCATCATCGCACCACCACCCTTTCTATTAGCCCTTCCGCATTCCGTTGCTATAGTTGGCAGTAAGAATAATGTTCCATCTATCCTGTCCTCCGTTCGCCGGGACTTGTATCATCGAGTATCTGCTGCAAGATGCTCCCCCATTGGATCCTCTCTCTCATCTAAAGCTGATAGACCATGCATCAAAGATATCATCAACGCCCAGACAACTCTGTTGAGTCAGTCCATTTCAGGAAGATCCGTTGTGCACTTCCATCGCCAAATTCCCCACGCCAAACGCCAAACTCCCCATCCGGACATCCCCGGACCAAAGCCCATCAACTCCGTCATCCCGGCACAGAATAACCCGGGCCCTTCTATCACCACATTGATGATCGTACCTAGTCTACGGCAACGGAGTGAATAGGAAGATTCTGTCCATATAGCTGAAGAAACAAATGATTCCGGTGCCGGTCTATAGGCTTGAGTGAGGAAGATGGGTGAGATGACCGGCCTAAGATGGGAAAAGCCACGATGTCAGAGGCAGAGCAATATTCTTCCATCTTGATAAGATAATGGACGCGACTGTCGTTGAACTCGTCTTAATTTGGTCTCAAGTGATTCCCTGAGGAGCCATGATAGGCCTGAACAGGCGCCCGACTTGACACAGCTTGGCTGATTTAAAGACTTGCTGGAATGAACTAGAAAAACACCTAGTCGTTGAACAAAGTTGAACATGATCATTTGACACGCGCAGATGTTTTATTCTTTATCATATCTTGATTTACAAGTCTCGGGACCGTGATTCTCAGTGTGGCCGTGGCTATCCAAGTCACCTTCGTAGCCTCCAAACTTCAAAGTCACTGTTCGATCCACATCAACATCACGCCCACCACCCTCAACGCAAGCCATACATCCAAACAGTCTTCATCTCACGCTGACCCTCTGACCCATCTAACGCCCTCTTTCACCAACACCGCACCTAAAGCCCCCAAAACACCCCACGCAAAAACCTCATACCCCAAAGCCCAAACCCTCCTCAGCACCATCCATCTCAACATCCGGAAGCAATCCCACCGACTCAGCTCCACCTTCCACCCGGGCGGATACCACTCCGGCACAGGCGGATCCTCCGGGCACCACATCTCCCGCCCGCAGGCCTCGAAGACGAGGAATCCGATGCTGCGGAGCGTGAGGATTGTGCAGTAGGCTATGTAGACGAGGTAGATCCCCAGCACGACCTCGCGCGGCGTGAGGAGGTAGGGGTGGTGGAGGATGTGAGTTAGTCGGGTTGCGGATTCGCGGGCAGTGTAGGGGCGGCGGGAGATGTTGCCGTCGATTACGGAGGGCATGTTTGGGTTGGGTTGGGTTGAGGGTGTGAGGTGGTTGAGAGTGAAGATGCTAGTACGGATTGATAGAGAAATGGTTGATGTGAATTTCTTCTTTACGTTAATTTCTTGAAATAAATCGTGGAAGTCGAAGGCTTTATGACACACGAGGACCAGGGACGATGAAGGGTTGCTGATGACCCAAATGATGCTGGTGTTGGTGTTCGTTGGTGAAGAGTGTTGGCTGATGAGAAGGCGAGATTACGGCCCCCACCAAGGACGGACCAGGATCGCATGACGGGTGCCTATGTGTCCTGCCGCTGCTCAGGTCGGTAATCTTCGACGCGCACGACTCCAATTGTACATGTGCTTACTTGAATGCCTGACAGGCTTCCTTCAATATTCACAGCGTTTGCGTAACCCTCGGCTTGGCCAGATTCTGAATCAAATAGAATATGCTTGAATTGATACTGGGTATCTTTGAAGAAAACAGCTCACTGCCCCATGATCTACTAAGCCAGTGCCTCATGCCATCAATATGGAGAATGCCAAAACCATAAACGTCGTGATTGCAAGTCCCATAAGACCAGGTGAATGCCGGGTGCTCCCGGCCCCTTCCTAGCTGCCACCGCCTGCCGAATCGCTATTATTCGAGCCATTCGAACCACCACTAGTCGTAGGCTCGACAATCTGTGCGCTCGCGTTGGGTCGCACGCTCTGAGGATTCGAGAATAAATCCTTGGGATCCCACGTCGCTTTAATGCGCTCCAGCGTTGGGAGATTGGTTCCCCAATACCTCTCTTGCGCGTTGTCGAGCGTCGGGTCGACATACCCAGCATATGTGCTCAGCTCGTTCGGACTCGCTTTCCGGATCTTGTCGGCAACCCCAGACATGAAATCCTTGGTCTTGCTGCTCAAAGTCGGGATGCCGACACCGTAGCCCTGGAAGAACATGACCTTGTCGCGGTGGCGGTAGGCAGTAGCGTTCATGGGCACGTCGTTGATTGCGCCGCCGGTGACGTCAAAGATGAGGAACCAAATCAGGGTACCGCGGTCGGTACCATCCACGTAGTCCATTATTCCTTGAATGCCATCTTCGCTGAGGAGGTCGTTGCGGGTAAAGGCGAGACTCTTGGAGGTGAAAGGTGACTGGATATCACTCAGCCAAAGCGCCGCATCTTGTGCCTTTTGAGCAACGTCGCCGAGCCAGTCATTTACTACCACGGATACCTTGCCCTCGGGGATGCGGTCTGGGATGCCCGTCTTCTTGAACTCATCTTCTGTCCCGTAGAATGTAGCGGTGATGGCGACGCCGAGCTCCTGCATCACAAACTCGCTGCTGAACCGACGATCCAGCTCCGGATCGGAGATGAGGTCTTGCCATTGCTTGAAGACAGGTGCAAGGTCGCGGTGCTTGGCAAAAGTGATGGCGTACGAGTATTGCACGACATCGCCGGGCTCCGGGTGGGTCCGCATAACGAATTCGGTGATGACGCCGAAGCCGGCGCCGGCGCCCTTAAGAGCAAAGAAGAGGTCCGAGTTCTGGATCTCGGTTGCTCGCTGGATCTTGCCGTCTGCGGTGACCACCTCAACTTCGACGACGTGATCTAGACAACTTCCCCACATCCTTGAGCTGGGGCCGAGACCGCCCTAAATGTGACTTGCATTAGCAGGGCGTACGAAAACGTGATAGACCACCGACTGCGGGGGACCAACAATTGTGGCATGGCCTCCGATGCCTACACCGGGACACGTGCCGTGAGCCATGGCTCTCTTCCCATTGTCGTGCAACTTTTCCGTCACGTCGTGCAGCTTGTGACCTCCGCCGATAGTTGCCTGCCAAGTGTTCGTGTCCATGGAGAAATTTTGAAAGTTTGCCAAGTCAATGACGAGAGCGCCGTCGGTGCCACCAATGCCAAAGTTGCTGCGGATAAATGAGTGTGTTAGCAGTGGACTACATAACGATGACATCTCGAAAAACCTACGCATATGAGTGGCCTCCCGATTTGGCTTGCACCTTGACATTGTTGGCCGCAGCGCATTTGACGAACCCGGCAACATCTTCCGTTGTTGAGGGTTTTGTGACGGCGATAGGCTCCACCGGGATATCGAGATTGTACGGCTTCACCCAATTTAACTGGAAGAGAGGGTCGTTTGGGTATCCAACGCAGGAGGAGCGGCCATTGCAGACGTTGTCAAGACAAGTCGCCAACGGGCTGCTAGGCTTCTGTCCCATGATTATTGCCACGAAGTGGTTTATCGAGAGCAATATCCGTAGAGCATAACACAGTATGCGCT